CCGGCATTACAGTAAGAATACAATCTCTGGGTTTATTCAAAAGACAATTTCTGCAATCTTACTCTCAAAGTATTGGTCATGGGTCAAGGTTGAAGTTTAGCCACCAACCCGAAGCTTCGACATGTGGGGTTCTAGTGGGGATTTGAAACCAGTGAGTGACGCTGGTGCGTTTCAAGAATAATGAGTCAGCGCTTTCCTAGTTGCTCAAATACATTGTTGGATCGATTATTTTGAAACATTCATGTGATTTTTAATAAATATTATGATCAATGAAATATTGTCGATATTTTAAAAGTAGCACGAGATCGTTGCCTTATGACCATTTTCCACACTCTTTCCGCTCTAACTGCTGCTCTCGTTGTCGTATCGCTGATTGGGTTACACTTTCAACGAATGGCTCGTCTCAACTGGCAAATATTGCAGAGTAAGGAGGCTTGTTCATCGCACATTCCGCAAAATGGATCTCAATGGGGACGGATACATTACCAAGGACGAGCTTCTGAAGAGCAATGAAGGCAATTTAACCGAGGAGGAGGTGACTGTCATATTCGAACGATTCGACAAGGACGAAGATGGAAACATCGGTAAAGAGGACGTTCGGTTTTGGCTACAGATCGAAGGCCCTCTGTGAGTGGCGGTTCTGTTTGATACTGTCGAAAATTTGCTTTTAGGCAAATGTTTGGAATAAACATACAAGAGACTTATTGTACACTACTTCAAGTAAAGTGCTGATCTCCTAGAGATGGTTAGGCATTTCACAACTCCAATTGCTTCTAGTTCGTCGTAAACTTAAGAAGTAACCACGTCAGTAAAGTACTTTTATGCAGTCAATAGATCTTGATAAAATAAGGTATAACTAAGATCATGGTGAGGTTTCATTGAAGCTTCCTGAGGTCGGAAACTGTTAGGTTAACAACACTGATGATGCGGAAGAATTGTGGTCTGTGTGACTGTTTTTGCCATAAAAAATCGTTGCATTGACTCCACACTCGAACATTTGAGGTATAATAAACGACATTACTCGGACTGAGATCTACGCCAATCTGAGCTTCATGGGCGATCGGCAATTTTGTCCGATTAAATCCTAAGTGAGAAATTGAAATATGAAACCAAACAAGATCATATAGGCATCTAGTTTTCAGATTAAAATAGATTACCAGAAATACTGAAAAGGACTTCGAGTGAGAGGAAGGCAAAGATGAATGTCTTTTTGTTATTCTCGTCCAATATGGATTACACCAATAACGCCAGAAATCACCGTTGGAGCGAAAATGTTGGCACTGGATGAAAGTAAAAGCGTCCAATGCTACAGACGATAGAACGGAATCAGATATTAAGTATTTAATGAAAATGGTGGAAATGCAGTGAACGCATACTGTGAATACAGGTCTAATCAAAATGGTATGGCAATTCACTGAAACACCACAATGCTCATCAAACTATAAAACCTTTCAGGAGAGAGCTAGCTATTCAGCCGATAGCAATATTCTCCATCAAGTGAGTCGCTGATCAAACTGATTGGACTTTCACTACGCATCTCCTGTTTAGACCGACTGTTCTGTTCTAGTAGGCACCAACTGCAATCGACCAAAATGAAACATGATATTCTTCAAATTTTGTCACATGCATTTCGATTTTAAAGTGTAGCGCGAGAAACGGCCATGATACAGACCATATCACCTTGGTCGTATTGTTTGAAGGTGATCACATCATGGAGCAAGACTCACAATGCTCCTGGAAAGAACTATCCATAACTTCATGCAGCAAATTTGTCTCCCATCTAGTAGTTAAACTGAATGAAGCTACTATGAGTACAAAAACACACAGAAACAAAACATTCTATAAACCTATGAACACAATATTCATTCTTGCCGTGTATTTTACCATGCAGCTCATTCGATTTTCACAAGCTTGTAAGAAGAGCGTTCGACGGTATGGAGCTGGATAAAGACGGCAAAATATCCAGAGCGGATTTTGAAAAGGCTAAACACGGTCGGCTATCCACCAACGAAATCAAAATCTTATTTGAACGATTTGACGAAAACGAAACCGGTTTTATCGACAAAGCCGAAGTTCGAAACTGGCTACAGTCGGAGCCTCATCAAAAGTGAGAGCTTGTTTCCTCCCTTGTATTGATTTTCGTGACTCAAGACTCTAGTATTTTTATTATTTATTTTATATATTTATTTTAATTTTTTTATACTGTGTCGTCAAACATGTCGAACACAATAATAGCCTTTTGGTCATCGAGGCATAGCCTGATAGTTTAAACCATTCAAACCCCAGTATAAAGCTCATCGAACAATCACAAAACTGTCCCACCATTTCGTTAAAAGCTAGCAACAGACCATACTATTTTGATTCACTTCTTAAAGTAGCAATGATTTGCATAAAATCACTGGTACGGTAATTGAAATCCCTTTGGTGCAAGTGGACAACAGCACACGGTAGTGGAATAGTGGTCCGAATCAACTGCAAACGGTTATGTGACCCATTCAAATTCAAATCAAGGGAAACCGGGCGAGACCTATTCATCTTCCACCCTATTGTCGTCCAATAACTAGCCTCAACTATTTGACCGAATAAAACTCCTTCTCCGATGGCTTTAGATGAGCAATCGCATGGCAACCGACGAATTCATATTCAACCACCATACAGTCCCTAGTGAACCCGCTGCAAGAGACGTTCAGTATGTTCCAATTTCATTCGCTTAACATTGAAACAAATCAAATCATCCAAAAGAAGTGTTATACTATCGACATATCCGAAACAATACGGGTTCACACCAAATCAGCATAAACCGACTTTTCATTAAAGGATACCAATGGGCATTTGAACACTAACTGGATAATCCGATTAGTTGATTTGTTAGGTTGANNNNAGGCAGGTAACTTTCTTATCTTGTCACTCGTCTTGATAAGTTACTTTACGTGGGTCAAAGTTGAAGGTCGTCGATTGTCCGCAAACTTCCAATGTACCTTAATGGATGGATGGTGGTGGTGGGGGGCTCCGCCTAAAATCCGTTGCCTGTAGCAACCACGGTATTCAAAAGGCAAGATCACATACCTCGGTGATGAATTCCTCAGGAATGATTATAATTTCTAATAGAAAATAATTTCACGGAACATAACATAACATATCGCGAAGGGTAACCAATCTTTGGAACTCCATTCCAGCTGACGTGGTGGAAGAGGTCAATGATAAGATGT